TACGGGTTCTTATGTGGTTGAACACATAGGAATACCACTTGTTGTACTTCTCGAGAATTTGTTTTACTTTTGATGGGCCACTCTTGGACATTTGACCATGAAGTATTCAAACTTGTGATTGTTCATACTACCTTGCTACATCACAACTGATAGCCTTTTGTTTCGACCCAGAAATTGTGCACTGTTGGAGAGAATTTGAACTCATCATGTGAAACAACTAGACATGTATTCACACATTCATCAAATTTTGATAACAAAATTAGTCATTAGTATTGTGGTGACATGTGTTGATTAGTGATCAAGACATGAGCACCTATACTAATTAGTACTTCATGCAAACTTAAGTTGAAATTTATAAAGTATACATTTGTTTTATATACTGATTTGGTGACTTAATTGATGCTTGAATGTTTAAACATAGGATTGGGAGGGTTACAGAATCAATTAGATAGAACTAAGGCAATTGTCTTCTACCTAGTTTCCTTGATTATAATCTTTGAAGTACTCCAAAGTCCTAATTCCAAAACCTTTATACTTAGTATATATACATATGTGAAGAGTAATTATAAAAGAGGAATATGAGATAAGAATATGATATTTTCCCTATGATAAAGGTATAAGAAATATATATTATTATAAATACATACAAACATGCATAAAGTATAAATTAATCATCTTAAATGTAAGCTAAAAGTATAAAACAACAATTTTTTTCATAAGAATTACTTTCAAGTGATATATATATATATATATATGTATATATTCATCATTTTATTTATTTATTTCTTTTCATGTTTGTATGTCAAAAGCAAACTAACACAAGTTAAATTTTAGAAAATTAATAATTTAATTCTAGATTTTTTATTGTATATATATATATATATATATATATATATACACACACACACACATACATACATACATACATATATATATATATATATATATACATATAAGAAAATTAATTGGTTTGAACTATTTAAATATATAATTTATCAACTAATTGAATATTCATCTATTCAATTTTATTGCTTTTGAATAGGATTTTTTTTTTTTTTTTTTTTTTTTTTTTTTTTTACTAATTACTGTATTGTGAAAACTCCATCTTATCTACTTTTAAAAGTAATTAGGAATGTTTATTACTATTTAAGAAAGAAATATATATATATATATATATATATATATATACACGTAAATTTCAAGGCTTGTTATCATTAATTATTTTCTTTTTATATGCCACTCAAAAATATTATATATATGATTTGCTTTGCATATATTCAAAACACATACTCAATTGAGTTTTGTAAGGAAAAAAATAGTCGTTTATTAATCTCGAAATGTCTGAAGTTGATAATAGTCATTGGTAATATATCAAAATGTGGTTGTTTGAAAACATTCTTATGGGTATTTTTATTAAGTAATCTTATTATCTAGGCATTCATAAATATTAGAGTGGTTCAAACAACAAACCAACCATCACAATTGAACCTACCAAGCCATATCTAGCCTTCTGCTATACAAATATTCATAGTGTCTTGTACTTAAAAAATAATAATCTGGTGATTGATATTATCCTAGAATTTTATAAAATAATTTCATCAAGTTCATGCAATAGTTGTTTTTTGTTCACACACAAAATTCCCAAGTCAAAAACTTGAACATGAAAAAGTTTAACATTATCATTTCCAATAATAGACACTAAAATTTAGTATCTTTGGCATCATATATATATATATATATATATATATATATATATTACTTCATGAAAGTTGAATTTCAGGTAGCTTTTGTATTAATTTAATAATTATAAGCCTAAAGAAGTTCAACCTATGTATTTTGACTATTTTTTGTTACTAGGCTAATGCCGATAAGAATGGTAAAATAAGAAACGTTTGCCCTCTTAAGAGTAACTGTGGCTCAATGCATGAGCATGCAAAGATATGAATCCTGTTTGACATCAAAAACTGCTACTTTAATGAAATGAAATTGCTTTTATGCTTTAAAGATTTATGTAGTTTATTTGTATAATTAGATAAAAGAAAATCAATATTAATGTTGATATCTTTACCGTAAAGTGGTACGTTTATATTACTACGAATTAGATTATCATATAACCTATAACATAATCATATCTAATTTATTATCCAGTATGGGTTTTTTGTAATTTTTTTCTGTCTATGATTGCTTATATACAAATTAACTCAATAACTTCATGAATTATTCATACATTTCTAGATAGATTTCATTCCTTAATTTTTATTCATGAAAAATTTCAGAAAATAATCTGCCTAAGTACAGTTGAGAGCTTAGTTTTCATTTGTATTGAAAAATGCCATTTTTAAATTTATAAACGCAACCCATAAAACTGCACTCAGAAAATTAAAAAAACATAAATGACAAGTTTTAATTAGAAATCCATTAGTATAATTTATAGAACTTTGTATGTGGTGTATTTATATTTAATATTTTAAATTAAATTCTTGTTCCATTAATATTTAAAATAATTACACACACATTTAAAACTACGAAATTAAATTTATTCTATATTTTATATATTTTTTATTTATGGAAATCTTGTGCAAGGTTTGGCAATGAATACAAGTTTTTTCGTTTTTCATTTTTCATTTTTTGTCCCACATTAAAAAAATGATTAATATTACGATTAATTATTTATTTTTGATTATTTTCTCTCTCAATTAACTCTATTCCAACTAGGCACTTAGTCAGACCATGAGTTCTAGCTCTTTTAGTTAGAAGCAATCAAATAGATGCTTTTGAAGATAGCTTACTTTTAAGTGCTGTTCAAGAGAATGATTCACCTTATTCTAAAAATAGAATGTTTATGTCACAGACATAAAAAGTGTACAAAATAACATAATCTTTCTGTCTTCGAGAAACAAACTGCTGCATTGTCACATACTGAAAATTGATTGCAATAAGACAAGAATCTTCAATCAATGTTAACATTTTATCAACAGAAGCATATTAATCAACATCAGAGTAAAAGTCACTAACTTTTTACAGGCGTAAAGCCACTGAGAATAGTACATTGAGATGAATCGGTCAGTAAACTTTACACAAGATTCAGCCCCGTGTTGCATGTTTCTACAGGATGGAAGCACAGCAGAATGATATCCACAGGGAGTACAATACATGGATCATGCACAGGAACATGGAATCACCTCTTGACTTCTCAGAGTAGACATAATGTACTTGGCATACCTTAGTGTTGGAATACAAGTTTTCACATTATTGAGCACCTTAAATGTTGTGGTCTTGAGGGGTCAATATTTTGCAAGACAGGAACTTTGTGAACAGTGAAGTTCCTGGAGCATCTATGTTGATTTAGAGAGCAATGTGTGGGTTATGAAAAAAATTCTAATTTGACACCGTTATCGTTGTCATTCTGTGTCTGGCATAAACTGGATCCAACTAGACAGACAGCTGAATTCCCCTAGAGACAAGTAACTAAATGCTGGCATCTCTCCGCTTAGTTTGCAGATGCGAACTTGACAATGGTACAAGTAAGTACAGAAGTACTTGCTTTGCAAAGGAGATCCCTCGTCAATTGTTCGGGTGCCACATTTGGTTTGTATTACGACATTATTGATTGTGGTGAATTAGATTCTAGAATATAACAGACACCGCAATCTCGAGCGAGAGCAGGATCAAGAATAGTTATCCTCACATGTACCAGCTAGCATCAACCTTCAATTTCTGCAACCGCTCCTCGTGAACTTTTTCGATCGTTCAGAAGTCAACAACGTGGAAGTTGTGGACATTTGAACTCCTCTGAAAATACTGGCAACGAGGTCAATGAAGGTGAGTTTGAACAAACTGAGTTGATGCTACACTTGACAGTAGCCACGAGGTTTCGGAATTCCAGACAGGCAGAAGGAGTATCTGAACCGTAAGTAAGAACTAAAGATATTGATACCTTTCCAAGAAACCACGATTACAGGGGCCTATTACTACAGGTTTGAGGTGACTTTAAAATAACTTACGAATATATCAGTGAGGGATTAAATTTACGTATACAAAATGAAAAATGGCATCAAAACTCTGATCTCAGATGATAGCTGCGTGAGAAGGGCAAGAGGCTAACAATGCCAAACTCCCGATTGAGTACAGAAGAAGTCATTGTGTTGAGACTACAAGGACTGGCCCGAATACTCATTCCCAGCTTTAGTGGGCAGAAATGCCCGTTTTGGAGAGCGACATCACAAGACTTGAACTAACACATTGTGTTCTCTGAAACAGGTGCACATTCTTAACTCCAAACCAATGCAAAAAATCTCAAAGCTCAAGCTCCTACCCATCGTCGCAAGGGGCAGAAAGCAAACCATGCATGCCACATCATACATGGATCGCTCATTGCTCCATTCCTTAAAAAAATAATTTATTTTTACTTTACCGAAGTAGAAAGTACAAGAAGAATAAAAAATAAAAGAGAGGAAAAAGTGAGGAAGATCCTGTGTCATGTGGTCATACAAAAAAGAAAAAAACAATGACTCAATCTAGTGACTCAATCCAAAGAAGAAACAACAATGACTCAACATGCCTTCGTGGCCTTGTTGGACTGTACTCGTGTGGGTTGAAAATCTTCCTGTAACCACGCATGATGCTCTAGTGCAAAGCATATAGCAACATAATCATCTGAACCCGCAATCCTGACCAATCGACAAAGTTGACAAATCCAACTATCGTTATGTGATTTGCGAGTGATAATGCGTCTCTGAAGAGCTGAATTGGTGCATGCATACAATGGGAAATTTCAGGCAGAGGCACGGGACCGTCAAGGTTAGACACAAAAATGGGATTGCGCAGAGTAAGAGTTTTATGGCAGGTTATGCAGGAAATGAATTATACCGGATGGGCGCACCAGATTGGTAACAGCCGATTCGAAAGCGACCACCAAAATACCCTCTCATTACCAACTGCGCCAATGCACTGTTGTTGCAGCTATCCTATGGTTTTTTCCGCTGCGTGAGTCATGCCCATACCACACGAATTGTAGTATTATCTATTGCGTCACAAAACATCAGGAGAGCTGGAACACATTGAACCATGCTTCCCTACTCTTACAAATCATGTTAAACGAATAGTCATAGTGATGAGGAACAGACAGATTCCTCATTGACCTAATTTTTTTCTGCCAACAGCAGTCGTACATGGCGAGAAAAAGCTGTCGAGACGCAAGTTTTCTAAACCTACAACTGGCAATGTATGCTATTCCTACAAATTCCGTCAACCTACCCCAACAAGCTGCTCAAAAGGTTTGGAGAACTTTCACTTGTGCCCTGTACCCTGTACCTCTTCCGTAGTTAAAAGTGCAAGACACGAATTGAACAAAAAATTAAATTCTCACCTTCAAAAGGTTTGACTTACCGTTGAATTTTGCTCCTCGGCAGCAGCAGTGCTACAGCATTCCTTACAATGGACAACAAACACAGCCACAACTCCACCAACAAGCTAGAAGGAAAAAGGTTACCACTTCTATAAAAACCGATTCAATTTCGACCATGTGAAGCCATTGATTTATCATCAACTCAAATTTCTTTTTCACTAAGAAAAACGTATGATCACAACACACTCATCACCCACGTTAGAATATCGCTTCACCAGATGGCTGAAACCGTGTTCTTAACATTACTGACACAACATTAAGGGCAGAATGAGCTTGTCAATGCTGATGGACGGCACCAAAATCAAGACAACAAAAACCACTCTTTAAAATTAGCTGGGCGAATATCAGTTCTGGAATCTCCCATCAATCTCCAATACGCAAGCTTTGAAATCAATGTGTTGCGTCCTATCTCTTAAACTCGCTGATCGACAGGAAGAATGAGAAAAACGTTGGCATCGAGGAAACCCTCCGGAGATCACCCACAACACTTCCTTAGCTCAGTGCGAAAACCACTCCGGCACGCTGGGTGCAATCAGGATGTGCGTTCGATGTTGACTCTTGAAGGTGTACTCGCACCAAGTCCATCATCATTTACAGTCTGGGATTTGTGTTGAAACGGCGCCCACGACTGATTTTATTCTCAAGAGAGTGAGACATTTGAGGCTTCATCATTATTTTTTATTTATTTATTTGTTTATTGAAACAAACAAAGGAAATCTTCATTGCCATAGGAAACATAAATTACAACAGACCCAGCCGCATGCGGCCTGGGCGGGGATGACTGACACAACAGACACTACGTACTATGGTTAAGCTATCATCGTACACACAAACGAGTTTGCCTGGGGTGGCCCGATACGTTTATTTACTCCAGTCAGGATCCATCGGCCCGACTCTGTCGCTCAGCTACGGGGGTTGGAAGACAAACCCACCATTGGGGCTCAGACAATATCCACTGGGGATTACCCCCAGCATGGATGTGAAAATCCCATGGCAACACCACCTCTTTTCAGAAAGACTTGCAAGTTTCGCACTGGTTGCTATTCTAGATTTACTGTGTTTGCAGATTGTTGACCATTCGACCTGACCATAGTCAAGGATCCGAAGCCACACAGTCTGTAACAGTTTAGTCGAGTACCACTGGATGTTGTTAAAGACTGCATCATCACGCTCCTTCCACAGCGTCCATAAAATGTCTGTTCTGAGTTGTGACCAGAGGAGGCTGAATTGGGCAAATTTACGGAGAATTCTCTCTGATACGAGCCCTTGCCGCTAGGAGAGGGGTTGCCATGGTCTGCGTGCACCCCTGCATCTGGATTTTGTTCAGGGTTGCAGATTGTTGACCATTCGACCTGACCATTCCAGCTACGGGGGTTGGAAGACAAAATCCAGAGATAAATAATATGGACGCTCCATTGCCAAGCATGTTGGGCAGAGTTACATTCCCAAAAACAGTGTAAAATGGAATCCTCAGAGCGCCTTGGATAGACTGGGCAACAAAAGGATAATAAGTGGTCAACTTGCCATCTCCACGCGTTCACCGCAATAGTCCTGTGCCAGAGCAACCAAAGAAGTCTCAACTCTTCGCTAGCTCAATGTTTCACCAAGACCGTTTTCCATCTTAGCCGACATGTATTTGAAAGGACGCTATGCCATTGGATACCTTGGGACCTTGTTTGTGGATACCTTGGGACCTTGTTGTAATTCCTTTTGCAGCAACCGTGAGGATGGGGGCACATATTATCTGGGTGTGGTTGGGTGAAGGTACATCTCGTAAGGCGGAGCTTCGCAGACGTACTGCCACCTTCCGGAGCCTGCCATACGACAACCGGGAGGGCATCCTTGTCTGACTAGAAACATTCCAGCCATTCACCACCTCCTGCTGGGGAGAACTCTTGCTCAAGAAACAATCTCTAGTGGCTTGTATGGCTGAGTACCGCAGTAGTCCATGCTCCGGCTTCCTCTGCTTTAAGGCTACACTGAAATGCAACTTCTTGTGATGTGAAGAATCTTGATTTTGTTAACATATCTTTCACAGTTCTAAGAAAATAAAAGATCAAACGCATGGACTTGGGCTAGTTCATCATAGAAGCTCTTAATAAAAGATTTGCAATATGTCCCACCCAAAGTGAATGAAGAAGTACTAAGTACTCTGTCTCTTATTGGGCCTAGGTTTTCAAAACTTAGAGCATCACAGCTACACAAAAAGGGTTTACAGTGTACAAGGGATGCAAGAAATGGAAGTCCATACTCCTTTTCTATGGGAAAATTGCTAACCTCCTCTGGGACCCTTGTAAGTTCCAGTGGCTCCACCTGAAAGGCGCCATCCCATTTATGTAATACACCGTGAAGCTTGGCCGGGAACTACTTAAAGAGAAATATGTCGTCCCCAATCCAGTTATGAAGAAATGGCATAGCGTCCTTTCAAATACATGTAGGCTAAGATGGAAAACGGTCTTGGTGAAACATAGAGCTAGCGAAGAGTTGAGACTTCTTTGGTTGCTTTAGCACTGGACTATTGCAGTGAACTCGTGGAGATGGCAAGTTGACCACTTATTATCCTTTTGTTGCCCAGTCTATCCGAGGCACTCTGAGGATTCCATTTTACACTGTTTTTGGGAATGTAACTTTGTCCAATACGCTTGGCAATGGAGCGTCCATATTATTAATCTCTGGATTTTGCCTTCCAACCCTTGAAGCTGGATTTTATTCTTGCATCCCTTGTACACTGTAAACCCTTTTTGGGTAGTTGTGAGGCTCTAAGTTTTGAAAACCTAGGCCCAAGAAGAGACAAAGATGATGACTACTACAAAGATTCACTTGATACTTCTTTATTCACTTTAGGTGGGACATATTGCAAATCTTTTATTAAGAGCTTCTATGATGAACTAGCCCAAGTCCATGCGTTTGATCTTTTATTTGCTTAAAAATGATAAATTGTAAAATACTACATATTAAAGAACTACCTACCTTGCTTATAAGATTGAAAATGGCTAAGTCTAAATCTGTACAAATCATGGAGGTTGGATGTATTACATTGTTGTGCTAGAAAGTAGCATAATATGTAAAAATAATATGAAATTTTATGAGAGTTTGGATTGTAATTAGAAAAAAAAAAAAAAAATGAAATACTTATTTAATTTTTAAAATTTTTTAATTTAAATTTTGTAATTAAAGTTAGAAGTTGTAGGATTTATTGGTAAGAAGTGCAGAGGGGCTTTGGTATCAAAGGTATAATATTTTGACTCCTAATCCATTCCATGTGGATAGATAAAGTGTAAGAGGGTATAAATAAGATATTTCTATAAGGATAAATAGTTAGAACCATGGAAGTTTTTAGAATTGGGATTAGGTTAGTGGATCTACTATGGAATATGCAAGATCTATTATGGAACATTCTAGAAAGAATTTAGGATTGTTATTTAGGTAGGGTCTACCATAGAATCTTCTAGAAGGAATTTAAGGCAGTTATGTAAGTAGAATCTACTATCTAGATACATTCTAGAAAGTCCAGGGTAGTAGAAAAAAGTATAAATAGGACTAGTGAGGGCTTTTTGGGGCATTTGGTTAGGTATGGTTTCAGACCTTTTTTCTTCACACAATTAAATTTTGTATCTTCTTATTTTGTTTTGTTCTGTCTTAATTCCAATTGCTTAGTTTGTCTTCCGTTGTCGTATTGTTGTTTGACTACTATGTGAAAATAATATATTTATATATTTAATGTACGATATATTAGACAATATGATGAGAGCCTTGTTAGTAGATTTTTGTTGGTTGTAGGATATGGATAGAATACAACTTCAAAAAGAGGTTGTTTAAAAGAGCTTTTATTAGAATTTATATAACTTTATTTTCTTTTGATAGTGACTTTGAAGTTGATCTTATTAGTAGTAAGTCTTAAATATTTAGAGTCATCTTTATTAAATATTGGTGACCCTTAAAGTCTTATTTTATTTCTTTTATATGGTATTTAGGGCATATATTGAGTAAATCTTATGAAAAAAAGAATTGGAGAGGGATTTTGGTAGCAAAAAGAGTGGTTAGGGCATCCATATAGATGAATGGAAATGAATGATATAAATCTCCATTCCTATTGGTCAAAAATCATGACCAATGGACTTCAAGGAAGCTTCTTGAGGCCATATTAGAGATTAGGGTTAGTTTTTTGAAGGCATTCGAGTTTTGGAGGCTAGGGTCAGTAAGTTTAGGATTTTGGCTATGGTTTTGGTGAAAATTTTGAATCATTTGGAGTTTATATAAAAGAGATATGGGCGCTCAAAGTTAGGGTGTTGATTTTGTACCTACTATCACTCTTTTGAATATAACGCATGCGTACAGAAAGCAACAGAGGATCGGCAATTAAGGTTGGAGAGAGCACTTTCTCGACTAAACTTTTGGCATACTTTTTGATGGATTTTAAGTTTTGGTGAAGGAGATATTAGAGGTTGAAGTTAGTGCTTGCAAATCTAAGGATAGTAAGTGACTCAAATTGCTAGTGGTTGTGTTTTGAGTTATATCTTGTGTAATTTGACAAGATTTTGACTAAATATTTTTAAAAATATGTATTTTTTTGTAATCAAACTTTATACATAACTTTTGAGACATTTGGATTTTGGATTTGTGAAATATGAAGAAAATAGTATTTAGGTATTTGTGAATTAAGGTTTTACAGCATCTATTAGGATTTTTAAGATGCCAAATAATTGAGAGTGAATTTATAGTTGAATTTTTGTAAGGTAAAGTTTAAATGTGAATTCTATAATATCCATGAATTTGGCAAAATTTGAACAATTAGATCAAGAGATATGAATTTCCAAAGTTTGAGAAGAAGAAATCTTTTGTGGGAATATTATATTTTGAAGGAATTTTGTTATAACTTGAGCATTTCATACAAAATAAAGGAGTATTTTGGGAGCCAAGACTTTATATATATGTTGAAGATGGATATATGGAGCTATGGTTGAATTTTTATATAAAGATGAGCTTTTGAGAGGAGATTGTGGATTTCCTTTGAAGTTATTGAAAACCTAATCTACTAGCAAATGGTTAGCAATGATTTGGTATAGCCAAGAATGTTAGAAAATTTCTAAATATTTTAGAAAGCCTTATGTACAAACCTTCTTAAATATAAAAGGATTTATTAGTACAATATCTTTTTAATATTACAATATTTATTTGTCTTCTACTTTTAAGGTTAAATAACTTATTGGAGCTTGGTCAATAAGTTAAAACTAAACTCTCTACAACTAGGTACTCAGTATATTCCAAGATAGAAAATCACTCAATATGACACTATGTTCTATTTTTTTTAGTTTTGATCCAGCTTGTCATAATTTGTGATGAGTTTTTATGTTGTTGTACATATAAGGATCTTGGACACTTAAGATAGATGAGTCTTATTTCATTGGTATTAGAGTGATTGTTAGGCTGTTTACTTTTGGTAGAATGTCAATAGTCATCATTTAGTCCAAGGTCAATTGTTGTAGTGACACTAGGTATTGAGTTAAGGCTACTATGAATTATTATTAAAAAATCATTTGGGAGGTGAGAAGGCATTATAATAGTAGAGTCCAACGGAAAAATTACAGCATGTGAGATATGGTAGAGCAATCCTAGATGAAGGGTCAAATATAATACTTCTTAGGTGAGATAACTACTTTATAAGGACAAATAGAAGCCTTGAGGACAAAGAAGTTGACATCTGCTAGGTTGAAATTAAATAAATCTAGTACATATTTTAGGACTTCAAAATAAAAAGATATATGTCAATGTCTCTTCAACATGCAACAATACCTCCAACTATCTGGAGCAAATATCATTAAAGAAATTATGTATGCAATAAGCTATTTGAAAGATCCAACAATTATTTGGTGGTGACATCAAATTCAAAGCTATGGAACTCAAGGTGGATTTTGTGATTGGGAAGAATTTGAAATCAAGTTTTGGAATCAATTTTGGTCCATTAATGTGGAGAAGATAGTACACAATCAATTGGCAAGTCTTACACAATCTAGGTCAGCACAAGATTATATCTCTCAATTCAATTTCTTATGTCTCTAAATTGATAATATTTTAGAGGTAGAGATGATGGATCAATTCCTACAAGATTTGAAACTTAGGGTCCAACAAGAGTTGGAGCTAAGGAATCAACAAACATTCAAAGAGGCAATTTGGATTGCAAAGAGGGTTGATGCTATAGATTTCAGGAATTGTGGAATACAACCTATAGCACAAAGTCCTATGCTGCTATCTAATACTATGGCACAACAACCAATGCCAATGTAAATTGATAACCTACAAGGATCATTGATACCATAAAGATGACAAATATTAGTACAAAAGAGATTATATTTCTATTGTTGAGAACTAGGCCATCAGATCAAAGGTTTTCTAAAATATCAAAATTCAATCACCGGCAAGACACAACAAATTCACGATCTTGAAATTCACTAAGTTTATAATGAAACAAATCAGAAAAATAGAACTCCTCAATAAAAGCACCAAGGGCTAGCATTGGACATAGCTACTATCTCTTAGAAACAAATGGCATGGCCTCGGACAACTATAAAAAATTGACTAGTGCATCTAACAAGACTACTAAGAGGACAACCATATCAAGTGCTTGTAGATTATGGCTCTACAAAAAATTACATCTCAACTGAAATTATTGACCAACTTGGAATTAAAATTAAGGCAATCTAAAAAGAAAGTATATATCTTGTGGATGATCAAGAGAACATATTGAATGAAACATGTGAAGAAGAAATCTTGAGATTAATTGACACCTACATATTAAGAGAGAAGTTCAAGATGACAAAACTAAGATATAATATTATCCTTGGTATGCTATGGCTAGAGATGGAAAATAAACAAGTTGATTGGATAGCAAGGACAATCTCCTTTAAAGATAGTCGATACAAGATAACTCTTTGTATCTCTGCATCAAGTGAAGAAGAAAAATAATCTGCAACCAAAGACTTACATGTAGAAACGATCTTTATAAAGAAGCAAATACAATATAATCAACCGATATATATGGTGGTTTCAAATCTTATATCAATGATAGAAAAGATAGCCAAAGGAGTAGAACGAGCTGATCAGCTCATACAAAAATATTAGGATATCTTTTTAATTAATTTACCTAGTTATATGCCTACTGATTGAGGTACCTCTTTCAAATAAAAATTGCATAGAACCAAACCTATAAGTTTACTAATTTTTTGTCTAGCACCAAAAGAACTTCAAGAGTTGTAGAAGACATTGGATGAATTCTTGGAGAAAAGCCTCATTTGAGAAAGCACATCACCATGGAGAGCACTTGCATTCTTTGCACCTAAGAAGGATGGTGGACTTTACCTTTGCATCAACTATCGAAGCCTCAATAAACACATTGTTAAAAAAACATATCCACTTCTACATGTGGATGATCTTCTTAACTAACTTTAAGATGCAACCATTTTTATTAAATTGGATCTTTGGAGCAGCTATTGAAAAATATCTATTGAAAGAAAG